CTTCTCGCACGTTTTTTAATTGCTTCCATTTTTGAAAATTTTTGTATTCCTTTTAATAAGTTATTCGGGATTTCAATGGAAGTAGTTTGGATATGGCGTTTGTCGCCTCAGCTTGAATATCTGTTGGTAATTTACTTATTTCGTTTTGAGCCATTTCTGGCTCGAATTCAAACAGCAATCGATACGAAAGAGAATTAAATACACACACCGGAAAAATCTAGGGATACCATTTTATTAAAGTTAAAAATAAATGTTTTCAATAAACAATCACATATTTGTAAGCCGATTTTTTCTACTTCGATTGAAACGAAGTAGTCACACTAGTTATTTCTAAATTTGGGATATTTGCAGAAGTGATTGTGCATTTTTTGTCAAATGTATAAAAAGCACCTAGCATCAATTGTTCGAATTTAACCTGTACTGGTTATGTTTTTATGATAACTGGCCAGAATTCATTCAAATAACTCTGTTTAGCATTAAACGACATTATGGAGCGTAGACATCTTAACAGAGATGAAATGCTAAGGGCCATTGGTATGCTCGAAGCTGGAATGCGCCAAATCGACGTAGCTAGAGCATTAAATACAACGCAAAGTGTAATATCGCGATTAAGTGCACGCTACCGTGAAAGTGGTGATGTTGCTGAAAGGCACACAGGGCGACATCGCATTACTACCCCTCAGCAAGATCATTTTTTACAATTAAATGCTCGACGCTGACCGACTCTTACAGCACCAGAGCTTAGTTTAATTCTCCAGGAGACACATAATGTAACCGTTAGTCCTGACACTGTCCGCAATAGATTAAGAGAGGTCAACTTAAGAAGCAGACACCCCTGGAAAGCTCAACCCTTAACGAGAGGAAATCGAGAGGTACGATATTTGTGGGCTCAAGATCATGTTCAGTGGTCGAATGAACAATGGGCCAATGTTCTCTTCACGGATGAGTCACGCTTTGGAATTCATCCGGATTCGAGAAGGCTTAGGGTATGGAGAGAACCGGGAAATCTTATTCGGTTGGATCATGTTCAGGAGGTGCACCCTTATCAAGGTGGAACAGTTATGGTCTGGGGAGGAGTCCTGTTAGGCCGAAAAACTGATATCGTTTTTCTTGAAAGGTTTCTAACAGGAATCACATATCGTGATTTAATTCTTGAGCCTGTCGTGTTACCATATGCCAATGATTTTGGGAGAAACTTCATTCTCATGCATGACAATGCACGGCCTCATACAGCCAGAGTGGTAAGTGAGTTTATCAATGCTCATCAATTAAACATCTTACCCTGGCCGGCACAATCTCCTGACCTCAACCCCATCGAGCACGTATGGGACGCGGTTCAAAGAAGAATTTTGAGAATTGGTATGCCTCGTGAAACTTGTAGAGATATGGTTCGGGCCGTGAATGCTGCGTGGCAGGCTGTACCTCAAGTAGAGATCGACAACCTGATCATAAGCATGGAGAGACGATGTAGGGCTGTAATGAACAATAGAGGAGGTTATACCCTTTATTAAGTAAAAATGGTTTTATCTTTTTTTTTGATTCACAGTTTAGAATAAAAAAAAATGTGTGTATTTTTTTGAGTTCAATAAAAATCAAGGTAAATTTGAAAAATTCGGTAAATTTCGCATTTTCATTTTCAATACGTCCTATAAACTATTTGTTTATTTTAATTTTATTATATCAGAAATGCAAATAATAAAATTACTGACGATGGTTGGATAAAATTTGAATATCCCTAGACTTTTCCGGTGTGTGTATATTGATTCAAAACTGACAACTAAAGAGGCAGCTTTATTTTTTTGTCAAATTACATAGAAACCAACGCCAACCCAGCACAATATTTTTTCTACTCGTAATAAGTTCCTTGAAATAATAATTTCTGAATATATTTTAAAACGTAACTCGCTATGGAAAAAAAATTGTTTTATACACGACGATAAAATTGCATTATCGTTTAATTTAAATACAATTTTATCGTCTGGTATAAAAAATAACTATTGTTTTTACAGAACATACAGACCTATCGATGAAAATATCCATGAAAATTTACTTCCTAGCACACAACCAGAAGATATTATTACACAGGTAATGTATCAAGTTTATTATAGTGATTTTCTTAGCCGCGTTTGTCACAGATCGTTACCCAGAGTGAGCTAAATTATTTTACAAAAGGGTAGATCTGCCCCGAATGAGATAGTTGTGGCAGCACGCCGTTATCACTATTCCTGACGCTACGTCGTGTGTCACGGCCTTGAATTTTTACTTCCAACGCGCGTAAAGAAGTTAGACTTCCGGACGGATTATCCCTATTTTTGTGACAATTATTTTGATTAATACATTGGGTTAATTCGAAATTAATTTATTGAACATTCAAGCCGGAAAGCTTTTAACATTTATCCGTAATTATTTATAAATAAAATAGAGGTATTGAGTGAAAACCAGCTCGACATTATGTAAATAACATATCACAGAACCGTGTATTCAGCGTTTCGTAGCGACTGCTCTCTGCAAATATTAACATTTCTATGGTAAATCATTATTACATTATTAATATTAATTTATATGTGTTTAAGCCTATCATCAGTGTGATTAATTCGCGGTTACAGAATAGGGAACTAACAAATAATTTTCATTATGTATATAGATCGAAACAATGCATATTCTAATTAAACAAATTACATATTTAAATATGTACAAATCAAAAAGAGATTAAAGCTTCGTAATAAGGTTTATAGTAGATGTATATTGTATATTATAGGTATTCAGTTAAATTTATTTAATCTGTTTTAATTTTTAAAGAAAAATACATTTATTTATAAAAAATAGATAAAAAGTATAAATAACTTCCGCATTTATGGATGATAAAATTCATATCTGTGCAATACTAAACGTCAAAGTGTCTTTTTCAAAGCCTACTGATAGGATTGTTTGGTTAGATATTGCCTCTATATGGTCCCTGAGCAAATTACAATGGAAGTATTATACAAAAATTGTTTAAATAACGTAATACTATTATAGCGGGCCTAATTTTTAAAGAAAATTTAAACTTACTTGAGATAATTAGAGATAAGAAATGTATAGAAATGATGTCACTTTGATATGTGGAAGAATTATTTATACAGGGTGCGCCTCAAACGTGGCTCACCCCTATAACTTTTTTATTTTTTTCAGACAAAACAACGAGATTTGTTATGTTAGTAATACGACATGAATTAGGGTTGATTGACATATTCAATAATTGTTTTCGGTCGCTTCCGGTTTCACCGGAAATGACTACAACTTTTGATTTTTAAATAGCACCATCAGTATTTTTTACTTTATTCGATAGAAAATGTGACTCTGAATAGAATGACATATCATATGTCAACTTTTGACATTTTCAATTAAAAAAAATAGCATTTCAAATTTCAATTTGGAGTGCCAAATTCACTCGAAATATCTAGTGTGCGGTATCAAATTATTCGTAAAAAAATGCTTTTTCCAAATATGCTAATAAGCCACACTCGTTCCATTTGAGAAAAATTAGATATGATTAAAAATACGATTTGGGTATCTTTAAGCCGGCCAGAGGACAAGATTAAAAACATTAGACGATCAAATCTATTTTTCCAAGGCTCCTTGATTAAAAATTAGTGTTTTTAATACAGGCATGGCAATCTAGATTGGAATTTAAAATACAATTTGTTTTTGAGCGAATATGTCAAAAGTTGACATATGATATGTCATTTTCTATCGAATAAAGTAAAAAATACCGAGGATGCCATTTAAAAATAAAAAGTTGTAGTCATTTCCGGTGATACAGGAAGTGACCGAAAACAATTGAATCCGTCAATCAATCCTAATTCATGACATGTACTAACATACCAAATCTCGTTTTTTTATCTGAAAAAATAAAAAAGTTATAGGAGTGAGCCACTTTTGAGACGCACATGGTATATTTGTCAATCACACGGAATATCACGCAAACCAATATTTTTTTAAACAATATTAAACTTTACATTAAAAACTATTAATTTATTCAAAACAATGAACTTAATATATGAGTACCAGATAAATATTTGAGTGACAAACGGGTTCCTTTGAGTTATTTTTGCTTCTATCACGAGAATCGGCTATTAGTAAAAAAAAGACGAAAATTTGTATATTTAAGCAAAATTAGAAAATTAACAAGTTTTTCGAAATTTGGTCAAGAATGTCAAATTTGAAGCACACCCGAAGGCAACATAGTAAATTTTCTTGAGTCATTTTTAATCCAAATCAAAGCATTATTATGATTATTATTATTAATTACTTTCTGCCTTAATCCTAATATTAGATAAGTATATTTAATTCCAGCTGATTAAAATTATATATCACAGAATTTCTAATTTATTGAGTTTCCAAGTAAACTCCAATTAGACCTGTCCGTTAATACAGCAGGTTGATTGTATCAAATTAATATTAATGTAGCTTTACCAAGTTCTGCGAAGCTAATAAAAACCTGTGAATAATAGATATAATTTTCTAACCTTCATAAGCATACAATATTTAAATATTCAGTAAAATTCTAAAGCTATAGTTATTCATTTAGTGAAACTTCCCTAAGAAAATAACACTAATTTACTACAATACACATTATCTCGAACACTAGAGGTATGTTTCCCTAACCTTTTTAATGTTAGCATCATCTATAGATGATTAAAACTAGCATGGTTAGGGAACAGTGTGTCTACGATTTCTAATAACAACTGTATTAATACATTTTTTAATTATATAATTGAAGGGTCCAGGGATAAATTTTAGGATTTTACAATATTATAGTAGATCTAAATGGTCCCTACAAAATGCATAAACGCTGCAGTGCAATAAATTGTTAAATCCTATGATATATACCTAGTAAAAATATAGATACCAGCCGTCCGGTGCTCTCCTGTAAAATCAGTGAATGGCTCTCGCTTCAATTTCAATAATCTGAGATAAGTTTCCTCAAAAAAAATTCGAAATATATTAAAATTACTTACTTTTTCCTTCATGTATAGCCATGGGACTGATGGTAAGAAGACTGGCGCATACCGCTCCAGTACCATGTCCCATCAATGTTACTTTGGTCGGGTCACCACCAAAAGCTTCGATGTTTGCTTTGATCCACAGCAATGCTGCCAACTGGTCGACTAGGCCGAAGTTGCTTTGAATCTTAGCCTCTTCCGGTTCAACTTTGAGAAATCCTAAACACGAAGAAAAAATAAAGTAAAGAAGAGTTTCTTTATCATGTATGTTCTATTTTTGATAATTTTTGACCAAGTAGTAGTTAGTAGATAAATATAACGAAAGATGGTTGTCATCATCCAAGCATATAATTGGCACGTTAGCTACCTTTTGTAAATCATCTAATACTAGAAGACTTAAATTAATTTTAACTGGATATGTTGAAAAAATCTAAAATATCAATACCACCAGTCAATAATTTCAAGCTTTAATATACTCTGTTTTTTTTTCTCAGATAAGATCTCGACAGACGATGATAGAAGAAAAGCACATGACGTACCATACCAATCTATTTATTTTACTAAAAAAAGTTTCTAGTATTTTTTAAGTTAACTATGGATGGGTTTAAATATAAATCCGTCATACGTCATCTCTTGTTTTTAGCCAGTTTTATTGGTTTATTTCATAAATGACAGATTATATTTCAATTTTATTGGTTTGACAGAACGATGAACGACAAACGAACGCTGATGCGTATAAACTCGTCTTTAGATTTTTGAGGCTTGTCAAAGTCTAGTGAAATTATAGGTTATAATTTTGTGTCAACTTATGCTGACTTATGTCAAATACCCTCTGTTTTGGAAGATGATGCATTTTGATTCGTGTTATTAAACGTGTTTTGTGTCTTTTGAAGTCAAGTGGAGGAAATATCGAGGGAAAATTAGTTGTAGACCCAGAGCACAATTTATAGTTAATACTCGCGGCCCAGGCAGAAAATCTTATACACCAATAAAGTTACCATCAATAAAGTTTGTATACCATCTTGTCGTAGATAAGTGCATCTCGTATATGGTACAAGAATCTTACTAAACATGTACTAAAAACTGGAGTAGCTGTAAAATATCGACATCACACGATAGGTAAATAATGGATTTAGGTACAGCAGAAAAATGTCAAAAGGTACTGGTTTAAAAAAATTAAGATTAAAGTTAATTAATCAACCTTTAAGGTATAAAATTTGGTAAGTGTTATTATTAATAAAATAGTTTGTTTTATTGATTCCTGTGCAATATTACAAATTTGTACATAAGTTATATTGATAAATATTATAATAAATGCGGGAAATTTCTTGAAGTTTCCAAGTAAGAAATACCTAGTTCTTTTTTATTTTTTTTTTGTACATATATGTGGTGTTTTGTACTTGTTTGTTTTGTATTAACACATACCTTTATAGTTATCACTTGTCAGTGAAATTTTAAATATATTAATTTCCTGTTATGCGTTCCATTTGTACCAACTTATTTCTTTGTAAAATAAAATAAACTACTTTGAAATTAAAATGACAGACACATCTATCACTGTTAAGGATCTTGTCGTTGTCGACAGACTATAGTTTAACGGTCATCAATCAACTAAAACTTCAATTTCAGATACGTTTCATGATGTAACTGAATGCGTCAAAACTCGATTTGACTGCGATTTCAAGTCATTTGTCAATATGCATAAATTTACTGGATTTCTATATTAAGGACATCAGTTAATTGCATCTGGGCATGTTTCACAAACAATTAAAATCTGTGTAAAATGATTAATGTGCCTCTTAATTTACTGAATTAAAAATAAAATACCTATAAGAAATTGTAAATTTTGGTATTAAACTAATCAAAGGAAAGTCAATGCAGACAATAAAATAAAGGTGGTTTGAATACATTTGCTTAGTAAAACCTATAAAAGAGACACGATAATAAAGTCCTTTTACACTGGGTGTCAGCCCACCACGGGAGAGAGGGAAATGAAGAAGCAAACGATCTAGCTAGAAAAGGAGCGAACATTCAACTAATTGGACCAGAATCGTTGTACTTCCCTACTGGAAACCAACTTAAAGCAGAAATGAATAACCCGGAAATCTCCATAACCTGGAATAGAAATCATCCAATGGTCTACGACACTTGATGAAATTTCTCAGGACTTCTTCTTATCACGCCCTCTCCTGCCGAAGGTTGGCGATCCAAATGACAATTGTGGCTCTGGAAACTGCAGCCCGGAAGATTTCCGCAGACGAACGTTCAAAACATCTTAAATATTTTAGCCATGAGTTCTGGCGTCTTCCTACTGATCTTCTCCCTTGCACTTTGCCCTCTATTATGAGACGCAGTATTTCGTATCTATCACCTCTCATTACATGACCCAGGTATTACATTTTTCTTTCCTTGATGGTGTTCAGTGTCTCTTTTTGTTTCTGCATGCGCTGGAGTACCTCATCGTTGGTATTCCTTTGTACCCGTGAGATTCGCAGCATCCGTCTGTACACATACATTTCAAAGGCTTCTATTCTCTTTTCGGTCTGTGAATTTAGTGTCCAGCTCTCACATCAATAGAGTAATGCAGAAAAGACGTGCGCCTAAAAAAAACAAAGATTTTTTTGTTGATTTAAGTATGAACAATCTCCGGATTGCCGCGCGGTTTTTAACAGTCTCCTCAATGAACACTTCAGTAGATTGAAGCTAAGAAACAACGGCGAATGTAGATTTTTTTGTGGAAAATGGGGAAACATCAGAACACCGCGTCGCTGAGTGCGCCGAGACGACAACCATTCGTTCCATTAACTTTGTCACGACTGAAATCAGAGATGGAGAACTAATCTATGTAAAACCGTCTCAGATACTGGCTTTTATCAGAGCGCTGAGACTATATGAGGAGTTATATCAAGAAAGGAGGACACAATAGATCTATAAGGTGATTAACTTCCCAACTACATTATCGCTTCAAATAAATGTATTTTTAAATTCTAATTTTCTCAAATAGCATTTATTTGTACTGGTGAAAAGCTCCTAATGATGCATTTTTCAGGCTTTGCTCCGACCCGTTATTCTAATGGCTCTTTTAGCTGTCGCTTTCTAGACTAAGCGCGACGCGTAAGCCACTCCGAAACGAATATTTCGCTGCTGCCGGCAACAACATCCAAATAGCCTCAAATCCGCTTAGCTAGATTCAAAGCGATGGCTGAAGAAAGCGAAAAAACAGACCAAAAAAAATTAACGGCGTTTTAAATTCAGTTTTGAATATCCCTGTCTGAAAGAAGAAAGAATCTACGTTCTGGAACAGTGGCGTAGTAAAAGGTGAGCACAGTTGGTCATATTTTATCTCGATTAAAAGAGAACTCACAGTAGAACTCACTGCTAGAATTTCTTTAAAAATTTCAAAATACTGACTCTTCCTTCTTTGTTCATTTTTGAATCCGTTTGCTTAATCCGCAAGTACATATCTGCTATTCCCGAAAGGCCATCTCATAACTATCCACTTAGGAATGCGGAGCACGATCTTTATCTGCCAACCCCGAGCTCAGAACTAGTTAAAGGTTCAATACTGTACAATGCCAAAAAAATGTACCATCATCTGCCTTTGAATATCAAGTCGCTTTCATTCTTTCCCACGTTTCGCAAAGCTCTGATGCGGTAAACGACTTTTTTATTGATGTTTAATCATGAACAATTTTGATTTTAAAATTTTGATCATCTCACACACTGGTCAAAGGTCAAGTATTTAATATTTTATAACTATTTTATAACTCTTAAAATTATATCTATTTACTGCTTACTGTTCTGCAATTGTCGATGTATGTTTTTTTTTTGTAATTTAATGACTTAAATTTTATTGAATTGTATGATTTATATAGTGTATTTTTTGTTGTTTGTATATTTTTTTTGTGCTTTTGTTTGTTTTGTGAGTGCTTTGTCAATGAAGTTGTTTTAGGTTTTTGCACAATAAAGCATTATTTGTTTTGTTTTGTTTGTAAATATTGATTTCAACAAAAATTGTTCTTTAATTAGCGTTAAATTAATTCATCATAATTAATCAACACAAAAAGATACAAAAGTACTTCAATAATTCCACTCATACACAGGGTGTTTAAAAATTAATTTACAAACGTTATTTTTCATATCATCACGGGTTTCATTTTGCTTTGTTTCATAGCTACAGGGGGTTAAATTCTACATTTTTTTTCGATTAGTTATAATTTTCTTCAAAGTACTTTTAGCGATTCGAATGAAATTTCGAGGGAAAAAGTTACTATAAGTGCGACATACTTTAATGCTTAAAAAGTGGCGACAGATTCACCAGGAAAATTCATATAGGTTATCACTGGAATATTTGTCTAAAAAAACATGTACGCCACTGGTTGTTCTCTCTTTTAGCAATTATGTTGGCAGTTTAATAACGACTATAAGTTATATCTTTATATTTTCTCGATTTCAGTCTCCTTGATGAGATAAATGCAACTTTGTTAATATTAAATTAAGAATAAATTAAGAATAAATTAAGAATAAATTAAGAATAAATTAAGAATAAATTAAGAATAAATTAAGAATAAATTAAGAATAAATTAAGAATAAATTAAGAATAAATTAAGAATAAATTAAGAATAAATTAAGAATAAATTAAGAATAAATTAAGAATAAATTAAGAATAAATTAAGAATAAATTAAGAATAAATTAAGAATAAATTAAGAATAAATTAAGAATAAATTAAGAATAGATTAAGAATAATTTAAGAATAAATTAAGAATAAATTAAGAATAAATTAAGAATAAATTAAGAATAAATTAAGAATAAATTAAGAATAAATTAAGAATAAATTAAGAATAAATTAAGAATAAATTAAGAATAAAATTAATAAATTATTTATATCATCCAATTTACTATTAAATTTTAGCCACTGATATTTAGATGTAGTTTTGATGTTAAATCTACCTATAGCAAATTAAAAAAAATATATGGAATGAAAATAATTACAAAAGTCCTATGTTTTAAAGTTTTGGCATCCTGTAACTTTAAAACTATCCAGAAAAACTCCAAAACTATGTTTATAGGAACTTTTTACTTTTTTACAGTACTGGTAGATTTTGATAAAAGAAACATATTTTCTCTTTACCGCTTTTTAAAAAGTCCAAAATTACCGAAATATTTTATTTTGAAAGTTTAAAAAAATAATATTTTTTGCTTAAATTTTGAGAACCAC